GAAATAGCGAACTTTTAAAAAGACTTTTCGTTTTTCCTCAATAACTCCCGAACGGATGGACGTAGGGGGGCGTATTTAGACTCATTTTGTAGGGGACGACGAGATCTACAATTTCTCTGCAAAAAGATTTCGCTAGTGCCAATCGTTAACGAGTTATAGACGAAAAACGAAAAAACAGTTTTTTGCAACTTTCTCGTAAATTATAGATGCTAGCAATAAATTTTTATAGTGAATTTGTAGATCTCGTCGTCCTCTACAAAATGGTCCTATACATGGTCCCCTACGTCCATCCGTTCGAAAAAATCTTGGAAAAATAAAAAAAATTTTTTGGGTCAAAATATAGGAAAATAGTTCAAATAAAAGTTGTAGATACTAATATTAGCTGCAAGAAAAGTCGTATACAATTTCCGTCGACCTCCAATACTTCAGGAGTAATCGATTAATTATTGCGTCAATTAAGAACGAGTGTAGTTCGAAGGAAATTGCATAGAACCTTTCTTGTTCATGGCAAGTGTTCAGCATCGACGAGTGTTTTACTTTTTAATTCTTACTTCACATTTATTCTAGAAGTCATAAAAAAATTGCAAACTTTTTCGTGCGATGCAAACTGGCTCTTTTTAATAAATCTTGTTCGGCGCTAATACCATAAACGTTCTGCATACGGTCCAGCAATTTTATTGGACGTTTTCATGTCGCTGTTGGCAATCAGAGGAAATTGTTCGCATTCTCCGGTCGCGGATAAGATGAACCCGCACGAGGCCGCGTCCTAATTGCGGAGTGAACGTAATTAAATCGGTGATGGTAAAACGGCCGGACGATTCATCATTTTGCCGTCGGTTCGCAAATTTATCGACGCGCACTTGCAGCCGTTCATCTATCAACCCCTGGCTGCTATCACCGCATCCATCTTAATAACTTCACTCTGCGTGTTCGCACGATAGATGAACCCTCAAAACGAATTATAAATGAACCGCGGAATTTCGGGATGACCGAGCGCCGTGCTTTTTTTCTTTCCATATCCCGTTTATTATGATAAGTGACGAGAGGCTCCTGGCAAAATAGCTTTTCAAACTCTGTTTATCGCGCATCGATTCCATCCGTGGAAGTTCTCGTGTCGCCCGAACTCTTTCGACGTCCTTTCTTCTCTAGGATTCAAAAGTTGACGTCGAACGCAGCTAGCGATAACAGATTCCTTTTCAACATTTTCCTCCCCGACGCGACGACGCCTGGAATCCGACGCCAGCAATTCTCAGAAGGGCGTCGATTTCCATCTCATTTGAATACATAAAAGGAAATAATTGTCCTCGTGCAAAATAAGAATATCAGTTTAAAAACTGAGACAGAATTTCTAAATCGATAGAAATGTTTACGTTCAACCATTAATGAGAAACAGGAGAGCCTCGTGCGTTATCTCCGTCCTCGACTGATTTAGCAGGGGTTGGAAACTGCGCTCGCAATCTCCACGTCGGATACATGGTTGCGAGTGCAATCCGCAATCGCGGAGGAATCCCCGGGAAGGAATTAAAGCTGACACGAAGAGCTCTCAAAATATCTACCCATACTACGGCAGGTGCGCGTCGATGTGACTACAAATAAGGGCACACGCGCGTCCGTGTAATCTGCATGAAATTACGGAATGACATGTAATTAGAGCGTCGGCATTAAAATTACGCTGGCTGCTCCGAGGAGACCGAAGCCAAGATTCGGAGAGCGAAGATCTTGAATGTCTTCAACCAAGTTCACAAGCCATCATTCTTTTTCATGACTTATTCTCGATTCAAGTTGAGATCAGTACTACTGTTACTTCCCTTCTCTTCCTTCTCGATGAATAAATTTTCGTAGAAGCATCACTGCGCCCTTTTCGTCAGACGTTAGACGAATTCATCCGGTGGGTGTAAAGTGTTTGTGAGAATGGCTTGTCGAGAGAGAAACGAATTCGAAATTACCTACTTAATTAGCATTTCATCTCGTTCGAAACGTTACTCTGATCCGCTTCGCTTCTTGCTCGTATCTGCGACACCTGTGTCAATCTCATGCATCAAACATGCGTTCATGTTCCTTTTTATTCCACTCTCAATTATACGGCATTTTACTTGTGTTAATATAATCAATATAGTTAATTTTGAACACCCTGTAAGCTATCGATATTTACGTTTTAATTGTAATATTAAAAATTTCTTATTGGCATAAGTTTTAAAATCTTACAAACTGAAGATTATCATTTGGATCGTGTTGGAAACACGAACTTGGCTTGAGATCAGCGGACATTATCGCAGGGAATTTAATAAAGCGAAAGGTAGGTGCAAGAATGCTACTGAAAGAAATGAACGCGGAACGTGTTCCGCATCCGTACTAGTCCATAGTCTTTGATTTTCTTTTCTAATTCTCCTCTCCTCTCCCTTGCCTTACCTTAACAATTTATTAACTAGTCGTTTACTCTGTTCGTATCTTCTTTGCATATGTAATTGCTTTGGAAACTTTTATCTTTTCTTGTTTCGAAGCTGTTCCTGTTACTCCTTTTGCATGTTTATGAAATATCGATAAATGTTTATTAATAGACTGCGGATTTAGTAGCAATGTCGCGTTTTTCACATACCTAATTTTGGCATGAATGCATAAAATCTGCAATCGATTTAAGAGGATGTAGGTTTTGAAAAGATTGTGCGATGATTATTGTTGAAAAATACATTTTATTTGCCAGATAATTCAAGTCTCAACCTTCTGATACAGTGAAAGTAAATTAGCATAATTTCTGTTCGGTCGGGAAACGCGAGTAATAAAATCACTTATCGTTAATAGTTAAAGCATTAAATAACAAAGAAGTCGGATTTATTAACATGCATCTGATTTTCAGTATCAACAAATCGTTCAGTTTTTAATTTAAAAAACGTACGAGCTATTTTGATTTTTAACAATTCGTTTCTACTTTATGTTCGCTCGTTTCTTTTATTCCTACTAAATTGGTCATTTTTTAAGAGCACGTCGCTCTTTAACTTCGTACAACTGTTGGATTTTTACGAAGCATAATAATAAGAGTACGTCGAAAAACAGATGTAGTCAATTTATCTGGAAGTGTAAATCTCTGTACAAAAATCTCGAAAGCAGAAAATACAATCTTAAACTGCTTCACTCGTCACGTAAATAGTATTTTCTATTACAGTATTAATTAACTGATTTAAGAGGGTGCTCGCTTGACAGAAAATGAAAATTAAACGACATAATAATAAACAGTTTCGCTCATGCAAAAGATTTATCTACAAAAGATTCGTTTGAAAATACGGAAGCCATAATTAAAAATTTTGGTGCGAGTGAGTCTGTAATAAATGTGAATAAAAATGTCTGTGAAAAAATGCTGTCCTAGGAAAGAGATAAAAATGACGAGTTTTGAACTCCGTCGATCGGACGAGACGAAGTACCCCCTTAATTTACGCGAATATGTGTAACCTTCTGCTTGAACGTTACATTATCACAGACTTACTGTACAATATCGTATAATACACGTTTGCATAACCATTAGTATTGGTCGTCGTCACTTCCTCCGAGCTACGGTAACCGAGCAGTAAATTACATAGATAACAATTGATTTATTGTCTTTGACTAGGTGTTAATCGTTGGTTACCATAACGCTGCGACCTTCGTAACTGTGCAACACGATTTAGGCGAAAATTACGACGAATTCACAGTATTGAAAAACGTTTCCTTCCGACTATTAATAAGTTCCATTCGCAATTACATTGTAATAATCACCGTGTCGAAACCAACAATAAATTTCATAAAAAGTATTTAAGTATATAGTTTTTAACTAATATATATATATAGTTTTTGTTTTCCATACGAAACTGCAAAATATATTTGAATTTTCGGTCTTTTATGTACAAGTCTAAACGTAGAGAAACAAATACTTTAGTGTAGCACTTCTCTCGGTTCCTGGAAATTAAACGTCGTTGCACGTGCAGACGTCTGTCGTCGGATCGTCCGCGCATTCCGTCGGGCAGCTGGCTTTTATTATATCACAAATCGTCGGCTTCTCCGGCGGCCGTTCGTATTTACATATCACGGCGTACATGTCGCCGCCCAGTCGCAGGGCCAGCCATCGATTCTTGATGACTGCTAGCTTTAAGCATTCGCAAGTCATCTTCGCGTAGAGATTCGTGTGGAGCGTTCGGCCCATCCCTTCGAGTACGATGAGGTCGACGTCGTGTTTCACCATCGCGAGGCACAGGTCCAAACTCAATCGACTGTTAAACAGAAAATTATTCATTACAATAAATAAGAAATTCTTATTAAGAATCATTCTGTGATGATTACCTTAAATCGAGGCATGGGCCAGCTTGAGCTGTTTCCATAGGAATTAAACGATTCTCCTTTAACGCGTGCCTAATCACTTTGCATACTTTCGCCGCGTCTCGTAACGTTACAACTAATTCTGGATAAGTAACGTCGTTCAACGCTGGCATCGAATTAGCGCAGAGTATCACCTAAAACAATTTTTATTCAATTGACTATTTTTTATAAAACATGAAATGATTCATACGATATTTTTACTAACTTTCGTGCCCCTTAATAGTAAGTCGCGAGCGAATGGCAGAATTCCTAATACGATGTCGACTCCGCTGTTGTCGACGAAAATAGCAGCGCATTTGTGAGCAGGTCCGTTTTCTAATCTCTCTATCCAGTCGTCTAAATCGTCTTGCAGCCAAGGTCTACCTATGAAAGATGTCGAATTAATTTTGCTAGTGAATTGTAAAATGAGATGTCGTGTACGTACTTGGTATCTTCTCTTGTGCCTCGGCGAAGCCGAAGTCTGTCGTTTCCATTAACGTCGCGACGGCCTGTGCACCCCAGTCGAACATATTACCACTGAGAACTCCTAAAACCAGGGCTCTTATCTTCTCCGCACCCTCTAAACTCTCTATAGCCGCTATACGATTTTTCAAGTGCTTCAACGCTTCTTCGTTCTCTTTCTTTTTTTGCTATAATAAATGAATTAAATAAATATTCTGCAATTTTCGTTATGTATGAAACTTACATGTAAATACGGATCGGGAAAATCGAATTCCTTCATGTAATGTTCAATCGTGTCCAATAATACTCGTACCGTGAGCGTACCATAAGCACTAGAACATAACACGATTTAAAGATATATTTAGAAATATAAAATTATGATCTGATTTTATGAAGTATTACATTTTTATCACGAGAGCTTACAATGGTTGGAGATTTAGATAATGCAGTCTGTTAACATATTTTTCCTTCAGTCTTGTCGCTCTGTCTTTGGCCGTAGGACTGTGCGGCTGACTATGAATGGCTCTAGCCACAAATTTGTCAACTGACTCCTCGAAGCATTGAAGCCAATAATCTCTAGAAATATCAGAAATTGCTATATATCTTTTTGAAATAAATATATCACTCGCCTGAGCTCACCTAGCTTCCTTATCCTCCGCGAGATCCGTCGTGTCGGGATTGTAAGAAGCTGGGTCTTTTAAAAGTGGACAGAACGTAACGGCGTATTCGGCTTGATCGATTTCTAATTGATCCACTTGGATCCCGAGATCGGTGGGTATCGAGTCCTTGAATCCCGACGACCCGGCGTAATTCTCTAACCAGCTGTGCTGGTCAGGCTTCTCGGTGCCGTACAGAAACGCCCCGATCGCGCCGAGGTATCCTTCGTGGCGTAGGAAAAGAGGTCTCACTTTACCCTACGCAAGACACATAATACATAAATCTTTCCTTGTTTGTTATGCAAATATATGACGATTCGAAACTAACGTGAGACCAATATTTAATCGAGTACGAAATCGTATGCATCGACAGGGGATGATTGCGCAGAAAGTATCCGCCGAAATAAACTTTGTTCATTTTATGCACGGTCGCATATAGACTCGCTATCTGGCCGATGTCGTTGCTTATAGCGAGGAGGAGGCTCCTCGCGATGTCCGCGTCGGAGAACTTTGGTTGTCCTTAAATAATAAATCAGATATTTAAATGTCACGATACGTCTGATGGTTCCTCGTGTTTTTACCTTTATCGTTATAAGTCGCTTTGCCGAAGGAAGATGCGATAAGCTCCCCGGGCAGGCCCTGGGTGACGTAATCACCCCCGTAAATGTCTCTGACTAACATGTCGACATTTCGGTGATCCCCTCTTTCTGCAAGTTGCAGCAATTCGTCAAAGCCCTAGCAGGATATTTTTTGAATGTACGCAACGTTGTAAATGGATGTATATAAAATGTATGTACTGATAATAAATAAGCGAGTCGTACCCTCTTGTTCGTGAGTAAACAGCCCAGTCCCCAAAACGTTCCACCCCCTGTAGCCGTGCCGCCGAGCCTTTCGAACACCTCGTCGGACTCGACCTGAGAGTCATAATAATCTTAGGGGCAGAGTAGCGATTTGGATTTCGAGTTACGTCGATTGCGACTTACTTTAAGAATACTGACGCCACTACCAATGTTCACCAAGATATACGGGAATATGTTAGGATCAGCCTTTTGAAATCTGTACTCAGGACTCCCATGCCTTTCGAATTCAAACGCCTCGCACGATATATTCTTGAGCAAAAAGTTACAGCCCTTTATCAAACACGCGAATTCATCCTCCTTGTCAATACTAAAACGATTTATTATTTATTTCATCGAACTATATAAGTATTTTGTAATCGTTTGAAAGATTTCTTACATTAAACCTAGTTTTTCTTGAAGCAGAGAATTATATTTGTATGCCCCTCCGCCGGTCACTTTAATACTTTTACCGTGGAATCTTTCAACGTTTACTAAATTTTCTTTCACGAAATCGAGACAGTTTTCGATGTATCTCGTCTCAAACTTAACGAAGTGTAGCCGATTGCCTTCGTATACTTTGTACGCGCGTTCGCCGCTGTTCCCCAAGCCAGCATCCTCGTATAAAGCTTTCCGATAACTGACCGTCGAGTAATAAGCTATTTTCGTGAGACACAAGCCTGTAATTAGATCGGAAGCAAATTGATCGTCGATAAGCAGTCCGTTGATTGTGGACGTTCTCATTCTCATTCGAAAATTTACGTTGAACGAAAAGAGGTGTCAGGTAACCTTCAAGGTGATTTAAAAAATGATCGATTGTCTCGTTCGATGGACATCGATCGAGCGGCGCGGTACTTACCGATGTCGATCGCGAATTTATGGGCATTCTTCAAGTTCGCGAATACCTCGACCGATCCTGGCAATTTTATCGAATGAGGATTGCGTTCATCGTCGATTTTCACCTTTGCCATTTTACATCGAACTCTTCAGCTTCTCCGGGTCACATAAAATCTACGACGCAGGCACGTTCTACGACTGAGCGAGACAACAGGTCGAAATTACATCACGGTGAACAATAATTTTATCATTATTTAAATATTCGGTCGTGAAACAGTGTCGGGCAACACATATGTGTACATATACAGGGAGATAAAATCTTTCTGCCCCCGAGACGCCGCGGCATGAGTCAAAATACGATCCCTGTTTACCGATTTTATCGCGTTGATACGAGAACGAATTAACTGATAGGGACATCAGACAGATAACGGTTCGATACAGCCGGTAAAAAATTTAATTTCAATTTGCAACAACTGCCGATCACGACGTCCACGCGAACGTTAGCAGCTTTCTAACGCGACTGCCTTATATATATTGCGTGGGATGAACTGCTGGCTGGGGCAGCCTTGCGGACGGCCTTGAGAGTATAATCGTAAAGGCTCGTTCACAGAATACACGATGGTATCATTCTAGGAACATTCCATTATCAAAATGATCATGCTTGTATCGGCCATATGGCCTCCGGTTCGTTTCGTTCAAATTTCATAAATTCGTAGGGAACAGGAAATCGATTGGGAAATTTAGGGCAATAATGTTCACATTGCATATTGCAAACGTATGACATAACAACAATTATTTATTTTTGTCAGCCAAATGTACAATTCGTGAAATGTACGACGGTTACCTAGAGCTTATCTGAACCTATGTAATATATCGATACAAAGTACGAAAATATCCAATAGTGTCGTAGGGATGGTATATACATTAATGTTTAGACTTTATTTCTGTATGTAACACCATATAGCTAATTGTAAGAATATACATTAATAAGAAACGCATGTACAGTCCTCCGTGTTCCTCCGGCGCGTCCCGAGACGCGAATGCCAACAACGCGCGCATTACACGTTACTTCGTCACATGTCGCGCATGCGTATTTCCCTTCGAACAGATTCAAATCCAGCTCCGAGCCGATCGAGACTTCAATGCGCTCAGATATACTTCGAATGTTTTCTTCTGTTCAAAGAATTGTCATCGAAATATAGTAACAAAATTGTTCGATTTTAAATCACTTATGTATACTAATCGCATGTCCACTTGAAACGGAATTAAGTTCTGACGATTTATTGTTTGTACTTATTAAAAGATACCTGCTCTTTCTTGTTAAGTTATTATTAGTCAGTTTCTTATTGGCATGCAAAATGTGTGTGTCGCTGTCTGTGAAAGAATTTCTCGAGCTTTTAGTAGGGTGTTCCGATAAAAAATCACGTTCCCGTTTTTGGAACGAGCGAAGGTTGTGGAGAATTAATAAACATCAGATGTCCCTATGACGTTACACAAGTTTATATTTTGTAACTTCCTTTTAATTTCTTTTTCTTCAATTTGCCGTCCGACGAGCCGTGGCCCGTGGAACGTGACAATCGTTCGTCGTATCGATACATACGTCGCTCAAATTTCTCCCACTAATCGTTCGACGATGATCGATCGGGATCAATACGTTGGTTTCCTCGCATTATCTCTGAACAGTCTCTCAAATATACATCCGTAGAAAATTGTTTCCGTGTACAGCGTACACGCACTAGCACGCAGACCAACGGTAGTATTTCAAAAGAAGTAAAAGTGACTATCAACGGATTCTGATTCATGCTACTTTCGAAATTACATACGACGCCTGTACAAAACAACGCGCTTACTCATCCTCTATATAATTCAAATAACGAAGTCGTCGTTGTAGTCTGCAGGAACAGTGACAATAATTTATTTTCCCATGCTCGATGCCGCGTTAAGTAAAAATCGTAAAATTCTCGTTGATCGAAAACAGAAATAAAGAAGATCTGTTTTGAATCATGCTCGGTCTTATTCGACAGACTGCCAGAAGCGGTCCAGAGGTACCCGCAAATAATCGAGTTCTTTTTTTTTAAAAAAAAAAACGAAATGAAAATCGATGGACTGCCATCCGCGCGATAAGTTAATATAAAAAGATCTCGATGAAAATCTGAGGACGCCGGGAATTCCTGGTTGCGTTATTCTCTTTAAGTGACGTAGTAAATATACACTTGTCGATGCGCATCGTTTAATTACACTCCGTCGGAGGCCCGTCCGCGCCCAGACTTCGTCGAGATCCCCGCTAACATTCAGGTAGAAAATATCGTTAATTTCTCACTGGTGTGTCGAGATCGAAATCGGACCGTCGACCATCAAACATTCGCATCAATTATTAATATTCACCACATCACACGTTCTCTCCCTCCCACGCACTCTCGATTCCTCTTCATCATTTTTCTCATCTTTCTCCCATTTGCCTCACCTCTCGTTGCACGATGCGTGTGAAAAAAAAAGAAAAAATGCGCGACGCCACTATTTTAATCGAGAAAAAATTAATAGAACGAAAACCAAAACTAGTACAACCCTCTCTGTCGCAGACAGGTGTTGCAGTTCGTCGAATATTGTGCAGAATAAATGATCGTTGCCGTTTTTTCGATTACCTCCCTGGAACGATTAATCGTAGAAATAAATACACGCGGCTTAAAGGAATATTTTGTTCATTTCCCGTTTCGTTCGTCGGCGGCGGTTCATTAAAACGTGTCTCTGCGCTCGACAGGAGAGAATACGATTTTTCCAAGCACCTTCTCCTCGTACGACAGTCCCGCTTGTTATTCTGCACGAAATTCGTTTGACTATAAAACGTACGTACTTATTACATACACGTATATGTATAATAAGTGAAATTTATAAACTAACATTTTCCTCGTGTAATTCATCGATAATTAATTGTTAATCATAATTAAAACTAACTAATGAATATTCCATGATAATCGCGATGAGGTGTCCGCAGCATCTGATTTCCTATTTCTCTTTGTTCATCGGGTGTCGTCACATCTTGTCGTTCTGTCTGTCCTCATGTCCGTGTGTGTCCGTGTGTGTATATATATAATACATATATATATATTCATATATTTTCGTACAGTACGTAAATTATTTACAGTTCTTTTTGCAGAAGAGTGTGATCATTATTGTGTAGGCACTATGGCTTTGGACGTACACTAAGTTGCACGTTTAGGGTACATCCTGAAGAGACTTCCAGCTGAGACGTTACTTCCCAGTGGGTCCTCGGCTTCCTCGGGAGCGTCGTTTCTCGTTTATCGAGAGGAAGGCGAGGCCCACCGGTGCAAGATTCTCTTCGAAAGCCCCTTCTCTCTCTCTCTCTCTCTCTCTCTCTCTCGCTCTCCCTCTCTTTCATTAAATTGCATTGCGTTCCGAAAAAGAATCTTAGACGGTTCGTCGAGTCCCGTTTACATGCACGCCTAAAATTTATCTTCGTGGTATGCTCGAGTTCGTCTCCGTGTTTCGCCGTGGAATGAATTGATGATCGCTGACGATGACGACGACGACTTGCGGCTAGAACGAACAGCGTTCTCTTCGATGGGACCGAATATCGTGGTATAACAATGTGTACGTGTGTATCATTCTTGTTCCTCGCATACGTGTCCCGGTAAATAAATTCAATTATTTATACGACTCTCTTTCCCTCCCGCGCTCGTTCGTGCATCAACTAGCTATACAAATTCTCCCGCCATCCCCCCGTTCGTTCGGGAAATTTGATCGATTACAAAAGTATATAGAATAAAAGCGATGCCTCCCAATGAGCTGGTCGCCGTTTCGTCTCCTCACCTTGCTCACTTTTTTGTTTTATACTATCTCTTCATCTACTACGCGTCTGGAGTTTCCGTAATAATTAAAACGCAGCTTCTTCCCGGACGGACTTCTCTTGGATTAAGCACGCAATTTAGATAAAGAAAGAAAACAATGTAATTGTCAGTCCGGCGACAAGAGGAAGCAACCGTCCGGAGAATGCGCCTCTGATTACATATCTCACGTCGACAGATTACTCTAAGAGGGACGTGTCCCGTCAAAATTACTTTCCCATTCTACCGATTCTACTAAGTGATCTTTATACAGTTCGATCGACACGTTCCGCGATCCATCAAAAATCTGTACGATCTAACGTTGATCTACTGCAAAAATTAAACCTACTCTTCGATTTATCCGTTTCTTCGTTTATTCATGCACGCTCAATTGATTACGATAAAAATAATAGTAATAAATAACAACCGTCGTACGACCGTTCAAGCGAAAGGCGGATCGACGAACGTGTCGATCGAGGAAAAATAAAAATAAAAAAAAAAAAAAAAAACGATCGTGGTTGTTCGCCGATACAACTCCAGTCTCTCGTCTCTTTAAAAAATCAGTTTCTCCCTTTCCCGAGCATTCGTACGCTTACATCATTTACAGTATTAATACACATTGCACAAGAAAACGGCGCTTCCGCCCCCCAAAATCACATTTACAATCTTTATTATCCCGTGGAAAGTCAATCGGCCAAGCCGGAAGTACTCACCGCGCGTGATATGTTTCTCCCTTCCGTGTCCGATGCACCTTCCAGCTTTGCTTCATCGAATTTTGTTAGCGACCCTGACTAATGCGCGGCCAATTATTCCGAGGAACGCTTGTTGAACGCGTCTCGACAAAATATTACAGCACCGTTCTGTCTAGGTACTCGTCAGTGTGTGTGTGTCGCTCTATTTACAGATTCTTCCGATGGGATTTAAGAAACCGAAGTCTACGAAGATTCGTTAGCTTGTGTTCGCTGAGCAATTTTTCGTGTATAAAATTTCACCGGCCAGACTTGCTAATAAAATTTTCGCGTAAGTTCGAACCGTGACGGAGTTAGAGAGCCAAGGATTGTTTTCGTGATTCGTTCGTGTTAGTTAACAGGTCGTTGATCAATCGTCGAAATGATTCCGTGCTTTGATTACCCTAACTGAACGACGAATTCTATTCTAATTGATTGATTTCCCTCGAGAACTGCTGATCGATCAGACGAAAAAGAAAATCGTGTCAGTAATGATTTCTGATAATCTGAATGGGGAGGCGAACTCAGAGGGGTTGGTGTCTAAAACACGGGGGGGTTGTGTGCTGTGTGCCACGACGATTAAGGACGATATCTGATTAAAATTTAAAATCAAAGAGATCCGAGAGCCCTTCTTCCGTGCCTAACGAGAACGAATAGTCGTTTTCGGATAGGGGCGGTTCCAGCGACAGCAGGTGCTCTCCGAAATCGAGAATACTTAGATCTGCAACAAAAGAAAGAGAAAATATTCGGCTGCTTCCCTTATGTCATCGAACGTCTCGCGAAGCTGCCTCCTTCCTTTCGTTCCCTAACAATTTCTCAAACGATTAAATCAAAGAGTCCGAGGACGTTTGATTTAATCCCTACGAGTACCAATCGTTGGAAATGTTCGTATATTCTTATTAATTCGTCGCATTTCGATTAGTTTAAAAGCATAGTTACAGCATGGCCGGATTAATCTGTTTTACATAACTGCGTCGTTTTGTTTACAGAGAAATATTAATTTAGCAAGCACAGGGAGGGTCTTTAGATAGAGAAGGGGGATGATTAAAAGCGTGCTATTTTTATATATGAACAGGAACAGGCACACATACACCCGCAGAAAGAATTGCGTTCGAACACAAACAAGCCGATGATTGTTATATCCAACAGACGTACCTTCGCGAGACACGAGTTTTGCTGTTTGAAACCGTCACCTAACTAGAACTCTGCCTGTGATGTGATTTTCATTACGTTAACACACAAGTCACAGCCAGAGCTCCATCAGGGTACGGCTATACTCCGTTTGTTGGGAAGGACCGAGGTAGAAATGTAACGAATTACGGGTGGCCAGGAAACAAATATTTGATCATCGTCCGTCTTCGTTCGTGAGAGTAAATCGCATTTATTCAACGACATGCACAATACTCCATTCAAATGTAAAAGAGTAATAATTTCAGTCCTGTTTCGGTGTGCAAAAGCGCAAAACGTGTTTCGGAGATATAGAAACGATGGGATGCAGTGTGAACGATATTTATTTAAATGAATAAGTGAAATAAAGTAAAAATACAAAGGTGTTAATAAGAAAAACAAAAGAAACGGGTGTGACAATCGCAGGCGATAGAAAATGTCGACAGTGAAGAAAAATATTAATGTAGCGAAGTAGTAATGCAATGCGAAAATGCAGGAAGTACCACTGAAATTATTCATACAAATAATTAATAACACACGATAGGTATTATACTAAAAATTCGAGAAATAATGTAAAAATTTACCTAGAGATTCGCAATAAATTTTTCAACCGATTTATATTAGTAACAAACTCAACAAATTCCATTCGAAAAATATGTACAAGATGAAAAAAGGTGAAAACAGAAATGTAAATGACGCATATAATATTCTTAAATAATTATCTAAAAATTGCGTATAAAAAAAAGTATAACTTCTGTAGAAAAACAAATTAATAAATAAGTTCTTTATTTTTCATTTCTGTATTCACCTTTTAGTGTCATCATTATTTATTATTGAATTCATATTAAAACGTGGCGGTATGTTTAAAAGCGAACATCATGCATACAACAGCATAGAAAAATAAAAATGATTCATGTAATAAAAGCGTTAAAATTACCTGCACACGAACGCAGTAATTTTATTTAAATTCTACCTATCGAAAAATACTAATATATTCAAGACCCTCCATAACGGAATATAACCTTTTCCGAAAAATGTTTTAATTATCAAATACAATTGAAAGAAATTATGCTTTCTTTATGAAAATGAGAGTAACAGTTATAGAGGGTTGTAAAGAGCGGATGGATTGCGACGAATCCAAATTTAGAAAATGTACGCGGCCTTACCTGTGGTGCTCATTTGATCCTCGGTTTGGAGTTGGAACTTCCCGCCGCCCATTGGCCCGTAATCGTCGGATTCGCAGAGAAGGGCGTCCCTCATGCCTGATAAACTGGTAACTGTGGATACGACCGGCGTGCACATACGCGTGCTCAACGAACTCTCGACGGTAGGCACGGGCTCGACCCGGACCCCGCTTCCTTCGTCGTCCAGCAGTTCCGGAGGTAGGAGAGGTATTTCGGATTCTTTTGACGAAGGCACAGGTTGCGTCGTCGTGTAGCCCGGATTGGGAGACGTTTTGTTAACCGCGGGATCATCGGGACAGAGGAACACCTCTATCTCTCCGTGAGACGACCTCATGTGCATTTGAAGCTGCGAACAGAAGTGATAGCGATTAAAATCGGTGTTACAGGATTCTCGTGAGATTGTCGTAAAGGAATAATTACCTTCTGTTGACCTAGATTATTAACAGGTTGCGGAACATGGAGGGTAGCTTCCGGCGGAGCTTTCACCGCCATGATAGCTTGGTCATTGTATATCGGGACAGAACGTAAATCGTGATACGTCACGTAAGCGTATTGTCTGTCTGCACAAAGTTCCCTAAGGTTTTTGTCTGCACCGTGGATCAATCGATCCAGCATGTTCTCCTTAGCTTCCAAGTCTGCCACTTCTCTCCTGAGATCAGCGATGTCGTTCCTTTCGTTAGGTAACTGACCGCCCCTGAAGAAACAGAACAGGAAACACATCGATCAATCGTAGTAGCGGAAGTTAAACGAAGAAATAATAGCGGAACGAAGAAACTTACTTCCATTGTATATTATTTTTGCTTTTCTTCTCTAAGATACCAATGCCTTCCAATACGTTCGTAATGTCGTATATACGACGCTTCTGTACTTCTAATTTTTCCGACGCTACGTTCAAATCTACGACACCGTCCTGACTGCTCTCGACTAAGTTTATGAACTTTTTCGTGAGTAAGCTCAGCGATGTGTCGTACCGCGTCCTCTCCACCGTTTTACCTACGACGAAGGCAACGTTCTCTTATCCTCGTAATTGATAGCGATACGTCGTGCGAAGGACGCGAAACTTACTTTTCGTGGGTGTGTGGCTAGCCAGAGAACTCGATCCAGATCTCCTGCGTTTACCTCTAGGGGCCTTAAAGGCAGATTGGCTGGGGCCAGTAGCTCCCATTTCCAAATTCAGTCTTCGTTTCACTGCCTGTACCGATATTTGCTGCAAAGTAATTCAGATAGATTAACGCGGTTCAATAGAAATTTTTGTATACTGAGCGTAGTATTATTCACCTCAGTTCTCGGTGGTGGCTGCGCGGGCTTCCTCATTACTTGATAACAAGGTGTCTGTCCATATTGGTGATCTTGCAGATGCGGACTCGGCGTCTCTTCAGATACCTTCTGTGCCTGCACCTCGTCCAGAGAACCATCGTCCAGGAATTCTGTCTTCACTAGAACGATTTTCTCGTGCAATCAAGCCGCACGATAGTCAAATCGAATTAAGATACATACGTAATTTCGTTTCGACCATGTCTGGTGTCACAGGCCTGGCAGGGTCTTCCAGGACCACTTGTCTCCTTACTCGAGGCATTTTTATTGTTTACTAAAACCTGTAAAACAGTCGTCACGAGAGATTAGAGCATAGAAACATTAGTCGACGATGTAAAACATAGGCAATAGGGTGGGATGAAATAAGATTTTTGGTCAAATGTTTATACATTTATATATTTACAGAATTAGCAATTGTGAGACGGACGTTGATTACGTCGATACATTTGTGAATCGTTTTCGGTGTATGCATCTGGTACGTTGCATGTTCTTGTGCGAAGGTTAATAAGTGTGCGTTGGATTTTTAATTGCTCATCGGAAATGTACGTGTAGGTGCAGTTACTCGACACTGGTTTCAAATAAATTCGGATCGGTGACGGAGAGAAGTCGAACGAAGAACTCGCAACATTTTAACAGCAACGTCGTGTACCTTGTTAACCTTGTTGCGTATCGGTAGTGTATATATATATATGTATGTACGCTTTATCAAAAATATACTACTTATACGTAAAAATGATTGACGGCAAGGTGCGCGGATCTGATTACAATTTCGATCGGTCTTGGTCCCTTCGTTGGCGACTTTTTCACAGTGCCATCCATTCGCGAGTGGATTTTATTCGGTCTCTATAGCGCGTTTAAGGAGATACGACTTTTTAGATGCATATCAAAGAACAGACAGCATAGGGGAGTAGGTTTTTGTACTTGAATCAAGCAACATTCGTAGAGCCTAATAATAGAACACGTTTTCCAAAGAACGTCGCATTTGTCTTTTGCAGAGGAAGTGGCAAACGCTTCGCGTCCAAACGAAATATTTACGTGGAGATATCATAGAATATCCGCTATTATAAATAATATTAAATGAATACGATTGCTTGATCAACGGTAACGTAACAGTGACTCAACGAGTTGACGCGTAAATCGTCGATACTCGAGCTGCACGTGATAAGAAGGAAATTTTGTACAGGAATAAAATCATTCCTTACGAATCGACTTGCTCAATGCATAATCGTGTGTTAAAAATAATCGTTTCGCGAAACGGAAGTGGTCGGCTGAATGACGAGGTAACAATTTCGTAAGTACGGAACATCTGGTGAAAACTGCAGATCAATTTTTGCATTGTACTTCGAGCAGCTGCAGACGTGAACGAGGGGAATTAAAACAAGCTTATTTCCTTTCATAACTTGATTTCTTGAAACGCGCAAAATCGATTTACTTCTACGATCCTCTACCAGCAATAAAATGCAGATCTTATACGTTGAGAGGCATTACGATTACCGTGTCAGTATGAAAATACAAAATTGAAATTTGTATACATGAAGCCTACGAATTGAAGAATCGTTTTTATAAACATACAAATAACAGACGCAGCTGTTATTATTATTCTTATTATTATTCGATGAGGACTCTTCGCTGATTTCCTAAACTTAGGACAAGTCCGTGAGAGTGGAGGATGCATCCTCTTTTACGAGACGGGAAAACCGGGAGCCAGAAGCCGCCAAAAAGGGGGAAAAAAAGGATTTTAAATCCTAAGGTCTCCGTTTACAGAGGACTCGTTACGCGCCTGAGCGGAGGCAGGCCCACGGTGCGGACGCGTACGAGAATTTTCGGAAAAAAGAGCAAGCGTCTCGAAGAACACGAGGCAACGTTCCGGGTGTGGTTTAAAGAGGCACGCCGGCAGGACGGTCGTGTTACGACCGCCTTCCGTTGCAAGCAGTTTTAGAAGCAAACTGTACTTGTCCGAACTGCGTGGTTCTCGTGGTTCGCCCGGGTGAACGAGTAGAAATTACGAGGGCCGATAGCACGCAGGGGCAAAGCGCGTTCGAAGGTTGGGAGCGATGCACGAGATGTAGGCATTGATTGGAAGGACGTTATCTTACAGATAAAACTAAACTAGTTAACTGGCGTCGACGGTATTGGTTGTGGAACTACCCTAGCCCATCGATTCGGAGAACGAGTGCTCCTAGACGCGAAACACGCGAACGACGGGATCGTTTCTCAGCCGTTTACTACGACCCGTCGAATAACGAGGTCTGAAACGTGCGAAGACACAGGAAACGCGTAGAAACGAACGATCTCGTGTGCACGAGGCTTCAGGTCCCAGATGTTAGCGACGAACCTTACTGTCCCTCTTTTTATTCCTCTCTTCCGCTCGTGGAAACCGCACAGGTCGCAAGGTCTGTCGAGGGCCGAATAATCGCGTTCTTTTTCTCTTATCATCGCGGCGGTGGAAAACGTGTCGACATCATCCGTATCACCGGGTATAGAAAACGACCGCGATCAGCTGTTAACGTTGATCGTAGGTTCGTACGGTGTTATCTGCCGCTACTCCGTTTCCTGACGTCGCGCGGATCGTTCGATCGCGGCTGAACAACGGGCGTATCGCTACTTTATCGAACACGGGAATGCGTAAGTCGCGAATAAACCGCAAGCCACGCACCGAAGCGGCCATGCATACGAGAGCAAGCGAGCGAGCGAGCGAGCGAACGAGGCGAGCCAGCGGACGACGAGGCAGAGAGCGATTATGCGAGTGCGCGCACCCACACCACTCCTCGCCAGTGACGCACACATGGACGCGGCACCCATTCGCACACGGTATATACGTACAAGAGTCGTTTAAAGAGCCAAGCCGGGACTAGAGTGTCCCTAGTTAGGCGTGCTACCGGCACGGTCATGAGGAAACCCAGAACCGGAGCACGCTTTCGCGATTGATCGCGAGAGATGCCGACGGCTTTCGACGCACCGAGGATCGCCGCTCGAAATAACGGGCCATATTTTTACGTTTATTTATTCCTTTCTGTCCCTTCGGCAAATATACCCACGTCTCTGCCTCCCTCTCTCTCTCTCTCTCCGATAAAACACGATTGCCTCGAAACCGGGGGGAGCTACGCATGGGATCGTTTCGAAACAACTGCTACGACACTATTCCTGTAGATGCGCAAGGAATCCACCGGATGGGAATGGAACGGTGCGATTGAGAAACGATTTACACGCGACTGTGTTTTTATTTCACTTACTTGGCTCCTCGCGCGGTGCGGTAGACGAACCGCACACAGTATTTTGAGACGGAGACCCACGCTCTCTTCCGGGAGGTTCAGCTAGCACACGGCGCGGCGCGTGTCACAGCACCGACGAGCGAGGCATGTCCGTGCCTCCTCCTCGATGGCAAATACGTCGCCGTCGCCGTCGTCGTGCCCGTTGTTACGAGTTGTATAGCCGATATGTTTCTAAATGCGATTCTCACTGTGTCCCTGTCGATGACAGGACGAAACGTATCATGCGCGCCCGAGACGACGACGAGGCCTTCTAACCCGGTCTCCCGAGGCAAACCCGTGCGCACAAATGTTGCTTTTTGCTCCGGCACGGTATCATACGTACACTTCGTACATGCGATTTACTACTCCCTCGCTCGTTTTCTCTCCCCGTCTGTCCTTCTTTCTCAGCTCGTAACGCTGTCGGTCGTCCTCCTCGTAGTCGTAGTAGTTGCGTGGCCTTTATTTCTCTCTCTCTCTCTCTCGATCTCTTTCCCTTTCACGTTCCTTTTTCTATATCTCCGTTTCTCTCTACCGCACCGATGCAGTGTCCATCTTCTACGGAGGCAACCTCGGCGATAGGAACGACAGTGAAACCAGCAGCAGCGGCCACAGGAGCAGCAGCAGCAGCAGCAGGAACAGCGGGGCCCGAAATGATCGCGGGGTACAGGGCCGGTCGTAACGTTTTCAGTTACCAAGGAATGTACAGGCTTTAAAGTTCACGGCAAGCCCCGCCTCGGCATGATCGGTCGTGCCACCGGCGAGGAAAACGAACCTTTTCTGTATCAGGGTGTCGCGCGCGCACACGAGGCCGGCTCGTGAGCTGGGCTATTGGATGGACGGGGCTCTGGCTGGCGCGCTGGCAACTGACTCAGGCAGATAGACCCGGCTGTGTGCCGGTAGTAGTAACGCGGACCGCGTGTGTGCTCCGCTCCTCCTCACCGAGAAAGCCCGGGTCCCGTCGTCGCGGTGTTAGTGGCCCTATACCACCGGCTCGTTCGCGTTCCTGAACGGGTCCCTGTCGCGGTGGTAGTAAGCGCTTAAGCGGCTGTCATGTGTCGGTGCGTTCGTGGACGCGCGCCTGTAACGTACCGGCGCACCGGCCATCTGCCGGTTGCACGGAAGAGTCGAGTACGCGCGCCAAAACCGTCACTTCGCTTTTCTCCGTAAACCACCGCGCCGCCAGCTATCGCAGATATCCGAAAAAGTTCCTAGGCCGTGGTCGCCTTCCCTCGATTCAGCACGATTTTCCGAAGGAAACGACGTGCCCGCACTTTCCCACGGCTACGTCGAAACGACGGCTACCCTCGCTGATGTCCACCTTCCCGCTTGTTTGTGTTCCTTGGGGTTAGACGGTCGCGGGACGGTCACGCAGCGTTGTACCTTCTCGACGTTGCGTGTTTACCCGTTTAAATCGCAACGAAACGAGCAGGAACTCGTGTCCGAAACCCACAACGAGTTATCACGTTAATAACGAGCACACGCGCCAAAACTGTCCCTCGCGTTTTCCACGAAACTGCCACGCAAGCTCCGGCATGGAGGTTGAAATATCCCTATAATCACGACTTTCCCGAGGCACGTTCGCGTTTCATGTGTCCGTTCCTCGGTTTTTGACAGCTCGTAACGCCGCGATTTAATCGCTGTTAATGATTATTACCGTGTCGGTCCGCCATGGTCAGGGGTGCCCGTTCTCGTAGCGGACGTCCACGCTTGATGTTGGCAGTGAGTCCCTTTAATGTGGGCCTTACTCCGTAACGAAAGGGGGCAGGGATCAAATGAACGATAAACGCACTTTCGGATTATGTAATTTTCAATAATCTTCGATTCCGTTCCTTCGGCTACGCACACTTCCGAAGATTAGGAGTATCCCACTGCCTGTCGTTTCTTGCCCGAAACTAAGCGGGCGGTCGTCGCTTCCTCCACGATGGAGGGGTGTTGGATGCCAGGGACGTAACGTTCGCACGTGCGGAGCGCGCACAAAAATTTCCTCTCCCGTTTTATCGTACGGCTCGATAACGCCCCGACATCGATCGCCGATTCGCGTTAAAATTCAATCCGCTAAAACAAACATCGATAAACATTCTCACAAGTTGATAACGAGGAAACAGTAGAGAAATATATTTATTTCACGTTCATAGAACTGTACAAAAATTCTGTAACGTTATTTCTCGTACAAGCCTCGTTCAACAGTTAAAACATTCCGTCGGTATTGATAGTATAATAAAAAATACAATTTACTGCGCTCGACGTCGAACTTTACTTTGTCGTTCTCGTTTCGCGACGGTATCTTCAGGTTTCGTCGATGCGTTGCTACGCACCTGGCGTAGGTCGCCAAGAAGGGAGCCCGGTGTTTTCTTCGTAACGTATTTATTTGAACCCTACGCAACTACAAAAGGATCGTACCCTATGTAGGACGTAAGGGAGAGCGTACACCTCCCTTCTTGCTTTCATGACCATACGGTCGTCCCCACTTTCGTTTCTCAGGCGCAAACCCGAGTCGAACGCCGAGGGCGCGGCAAGGAATCGCGCAACGGAACGTCGACCAGAATCGGCTATATATCGACGATCACGAAAATCTCAGGATGCTCCGTCCTCGGCCGATCGACGATCTGCATAGCCGAATACGTGATCGCCTTCACCTCGGCGTTCTGCGAATGTTTCCCGATGGTAAACTCCTCGCCTAGAGCCCAAGCCTTGATCTTGAAATTGACTCGGTCGAATTCAGTGATTTTCACTTTCTGCGGCCACAGAAAACGAAACTTTCATTTAGGAAAAGACTCGAGGAACACGAGACGCTTTGTTTCGTTCTCTGGGTCGTCTGTGGAGGATATCAGGGGCCGGAAGATCAAGGAAATAGAAGAAGCGAAACTGTGGAGATACCTTTGCCACGATGTAGGGTTCAGCAGAGAACATGAACAGCAGTTCATCGAGGAAATGAAAAAGAAGACCTTCCAAGTCGTCTCCGTCTGCTTCTATGTGATGCATCTGCGACATTTCCACTCGTTCTAAATCCGTCATGTACCCAAACATGGCAATTGCACATTGTTCGAAAGCTTCTTCCATAGTTTCGCCCCATGCATGTAGTCTGTAATCAATATTAATAATTCGTTCATCTCTGTAACTCGATATCATCGACGCATTTCGATGATTTCTCGCTTTATAAACGACGGCTATCCGTTGTGTTAATTTTACTAACAGGTTACCCGCGTGAGTAACCTCTGAAATTTTTCGGTCTCGTTACGAAGGATTTTTAAACCGAATACTTACTGTACATCAGCGGTGTGGTCCAAATCTGGAATACAGAACAAATACGACTGTCTTTACTCGTGTTTCCTTGAAATCGCGTGGGAAATAATCGTTTAAGAACTCGGGAGGAGTAGCTCACATGTGGCAAAATGGACACCGGCACAACAGCGCACCGGCTGCCGGTTATAGTATTTTAACATCATTTTACTGCCCCTCTTACGAATTTCAATCGTTCTAATACTTAAAACATGATTCTAATACTTACACTCGTATTTAACCGGTGGTACCACGAAATCTTCTTCGGTCAACTCGTTCATGATTACGCTCAGCTGATTGCACGTACGTGAATAGCCCCGATCAGCTGATCCACTGACAGATTTAGTCAATGGCAGTCTGGCTGCGCGCGTGCGAGCTGTTACTACGTAGATGGCAGTACGTAAAAGGCTGCACGCGTTCCTTCTTCACCGATCGAGCATTGCCGCGCCGCTAAATCTGTTTCGGAATATCCATTTGATGATAATTAAAAGTTAGAAAATGATTCTTGAATAAAAGAATCATATTTGTAAAAAGGTTTAGAAATACAATTGTCCGAATTGGGATCGGGCAAAAATTAAGAATAAATTTAGAATCGTTCGTTATTCAAACATTCAAAGCTCGCGTCGAGCGGACATTTTAAAATATTGGTAGGGATAATTCGCTGCCATATATTCGGAGACTTACTGCGTCTGAATCGAAAACAGAATTCTGCGAAGTATTTATGTGCAATCAAGCACGGATTTCGGAACTTGGCTCATTAGGCTCCATGATAGTGGCGATTGCCATTCACTTGAACTATATAATGCAATCTGAAAATGCCAAACTGCGCAGACAGACCCACATACTTAACTTTTAAATAAACACGAAATCCAATCGTCTGGCTCCGTCTAAACTGGATTGGAATACCATTTCTTATTTCTATGTTTCAATCAATTTACAAATGTCAGAAAAAGTATTTCATTCTTGCACGAGGTAGAGGAGTTGACATTATTTAACATCTTTCTTATTTTATTTAAGAACAGTTTATTTAATGATCGATACAATAATTGATTAAATGATTCATACAATTTTCAATGAAATACAATAATTCGTATATCTGTTGATACGATATTTTCCATAATGGTTGTTACAACAATTGATACATTGACACAATGTTTGATACAAAGTTCATAGATCAATCAATACAATATTTTCCTTAATGGTTGTTACAATAATTGATACAATGTTTGATACAAAATTCATGTATCAATCGATAGGACATTTTGCCCGATGATCGCTACAATGGTTGGTGCAGTAATTGATAGACTGATGATGCAAATGGTTTAACTGTGTCGGTGGAGTGAGAGTATCTGAGACTGATCATGCATGCATGTAGTACAGTTTCGTTGGCCGTTTTTCTTCTTTGTCAGTCGTCTCCCCGATGAAAACTAGTTTCTCATATCGATGCGATGTGATCCAAGGGCGTCCGGTTCGCGATCCGTAATCCCTGTTACATAAAACTGCGTAGACGGTACCGTAGCAATTCCATGGGGAACACATCTCGTTCGTCACCTGTTTACAATATCGTTTTCAAGCATGTACTTTCAAGGGTGCAGGGTCACGGATACCAGCTTCCATCGCACGTGATCTGTCCCAGTGTCACGGGTCAATCATTTTCTTCCCCGATCCGTCAGGTTCCTTGGAAAATTCTCATTCCTCAGCCCATGCAAATCAGTATATATATTAAAGTCCTCTATTCGTGGCATTTAAGTAAAAGGAATTATTATTACAGCAAGAATTAGTTTTTTATGAATTTTTAATTAAGATGAATAATAAAATGAATATTGTATGATTATTAAAATCGCGAATTATCTGAGGAACATAACATATTATTATAAAATTTTCCTGAACTATTTCTGTTCCTCCACGACTTGCATGCACATCGAATTTTTCCGCAAAGTTCGTCACGCATGCGATTGCCTCGTAACATGCATCGAAATTAATATGGATTCTAGGAAATGTGATAAAAAATTATGCAGAATAAAGTGCCAATGCGTCGTTTCTTATTTAATTTGATTATACGAATCCTGTATTCCAGTGGAAGCTACGGAATTGTCCGTTTAACGAAAGGAGAAGCACCAGGTGTAGATGGCTGGCTCTAACAAGTTTCCGAGCTATAAAACTTAAGACGATATTTCGCTGTCTTTACAACTGAATTTACGGCATCGTTACTCCTCTTCCTAGTCTGGACTGCTTATTCCTAGCGTAAATCATGGTTCGAGATGCTATGCTTGACGAAGAGGTGCAATTAGAAATTATAAGTCCTCAATTAATGCCCAACATTATAAATTATATTGATTTTGTAATATATTTACTTTGACTGTGAGTCGAATTGCTTCTGAAGAAAACGTAGTACGCAGTATTCGCTCGATTCGCGTTCACATCTGTGAGTCACGGTAGGCCGGTTGTCTTTTTTACGTTTGCTATTCTCAGTGCACCGAAGCCACGGTATAATTTTGTTTCGTTCAACAATAATTAGACGTCGGAGAAGCTGGCAGACGTGGCATCGCAAATAATGGATTATACGTTACCGACACGTGATGCGCTGAAGCGCTAATAATCGTAGACAGAGGGAAGCCAAATATTGGCAAACACGGAAACAAACATTACAGAATATTTTAAATACAGATGCTTGCTAAATTCGCGATAATTTCACTGTCGGTCGCCTATGCAATTACGTTTACACCCACCGAACGAAATTCATTACGAGGCACGTGTTATTTCTTAACTGTTACGGTATTAAAAATCCGCTTCTGGCGAACGCATAGTTTAAACCGATGGGAAGATTAATTACTTAAGCAATTAGCCTTCCGATATCTTCTTCATCAACGTTCATCATTTAAGGCTAAGCATAGTCAATATATTCAAATCTACCATTGTTCATTTCATTTTTTATATAACCACAAGCGATGATTATTATTCACGACTGCAGTCTATGAAATGATACTTGAACTTGCTAGATCATTGGAAATTCTATTGTCACAAGGCTTCTGACAATGCAACTTGTCGTTCCGATCGTTCATTTCCTTGAGAAAAAATCAGAAACGATCCGCTCGATCCGAGCTGCAATATAAATAACGCAGTTAGAAGGTAAACAAGCGTTGCCTAGTAAATTATGCCGAGATAGTGGTTCTGAGAACGCCTATGCAGACCACGGGTCTGAAAAGCGGGCGCGAGCCAGGGATGCCGATCGAGTGACAGAAAAGTCGAAGCTGGATCCAGCCTCCTCCGAGAGCGGCCAGCCAACGGGGGCAGCTGTCTAACAAAAGAAGAGCGGGTTTTACGCGTTCCATAGAATTGACCGCCGCGCGTACCCATTGCTCCGCTTCGTTACTTGGGCCGCGCGCTTCTCGCCTCTCACGTGTTGGCGCGCTTTAATGACATGCAATTTTGCAACGTAGCTCTCTGCCCGAAGTCCTTGGCGCTGGAAACTATATAAACGGACCGCTTATAATTGACTAGGCTAGCTGGTAGATTTTTAACCGAGCACAACCATGTCGTTCCAAGTCGTCCTAGCGGCGGTCCTCGCCGCGTTCGCCGTCACCCTCGTCTCCGGGGATAATCAGCTCCGTAAGTTTTCATCTTCATCTTCACCAGTTACACCGATCATCAACTCACTTTTTACGGTCATTTTTTTCATCGACATACATATGTATGACGAGTAGCACAGATTTTGTCATTACTAATGATCGTTAAATAAAAACGAGTGCGTTTCATGTACTGATTGAAAAAAATCATAGGGACAGTGCTGAGAAATGAATAGAATTCGAATTTAGAATTGTTAGAACCGTCGAAAGTAAACTGCGTGTCGAAATTCTTTGCCCGGACAAATTGGTGCGCGAGCGAGTGGTTTTTCACGGGTTAGGAGTAAAAGTTTCTGTTATTGGTTCTCCAGAGCCAGTGAATTAGAAAGCTGACGTTGCAACGTGCGCTGGCCAGTTGAATTTTAGCGAAATCTGATAACAACTGCGTGCTTTGTTTTCCCTAATTAATCAATCGACGGGGACACGTAATTGAAAATCGTGTATTTGTTCCTCAGCGGCGACTGTGAAAACCTGCAAGAAGGACTCTGAAGATTTCTCGTCGTGTCTGAGACTGGCCATTCAAGAAGCGTGGCCCACATTCATTCAAGGTATGTATTATTCTAGCATTTATTTCCCTCGACTTGAACGTTTAATAGAAAGCATGTAATTGAATATAATTTATTCATCCAAGTCCGTTTGCATATGCGTCACAACCCAATAAACACGATCTTTTTTGTTTAAACTTGTTTCGTACACGTCCTTGCAATTATCCTGTTTCTCTCTTGATTAATATTAAACAAGAATTACGTAACG